TTAATAGTTTCCCCCTTACTACTCTTCTATTTCTTGAATTTCTTAGGTATTCTCATTCATATTTTTAGTGATATTTAGAATAAATGAAGGCTGGGGAGTGACTCCTTTTTAAGACTTGTAAAGATCACTTCCCCGTTAAAAGTGGGAATTTGGGTCAAGTTTCCCAAAAAAAATTTCTACTGGAATTTTTCTTGGGATAGTATTCAACTTACCAATTAACTTGGGAGAAACTGACATGCTCAACAGTAGTCTTTCCTTTATTTATTTTTTTAAAGATTTTATTTATTTATTTGACAGAGAAAGACAGCGAGAGAAGGACACAAGCATGGGGAGCGGCAGAGGGAGAAGCAGTCTTATCACGGAGCAGGGAGCCCGATGCGGGGCTCGATCCCAGGACCCTGAGACCATGACCTGAGCCAAAGGCAGACGGTTAATGACAGAGCCACCCAGGTGCCCCTAGTCTTTCCTTTAATTTAAATCTTTTTTTATGTCTTTCACTGAATCATTGCTGCTTTTTTCATAATTCTTACTAAAGTTATCTCTTAATATTTATATTTCCTTTTGCTTTTTTGGGTGGGGATGATTCTTTCTTTTTACTTTCTAATTGGTTTTAGCAAGTTTAAATGAAAATTATTGATTTTTATATGCTTACTTTGTATATAACTAGTTTACTGATGCCTCTTAGTCCTATGAGATTTTCAGTTGAGTCTCTTAGGTTTTCTACATAGACTGTTTTACTATCTACAATAGTGAACATTTTCTTGTCTTCAATAGCTTTACCTCTTACTACTACCCTAATTCATTGAAATTCTCACTCTATATTTTGGTTACTCTGCTTTTTCTATCTAGTTTCTCTCTCCTTTGTTGCTTTTCTTTATCTTCTATCCCTTAACTGGATAAATCTTAAGCATATTCTAGCCTCTAGACTGTTGTGAGTCCCTCCATTCCCATGGTGAATATTTGCTAAGTCTTTAATCTCTCACCTATGCCATAGACCCATACTTCCAAATTTTTAAAGATATTGATAAGTGGCTGTCTCACCAGTTTTTCAAATGCAAGACATTTGATATGGACTTCCTTTTCCAACCATCTTTGTTATTCTTATTGTTGGCAACAACAGTTTTTTTTCCTTAAAGACTAGAAACATTATTATTATCTTAAATTACTTATTCTTCTTCATCTACTTTGTCCAGCCTCACATAAGGTCAGGCTTTTATTTACTGAGCATGGCTCTTAGATTCCTCACTTCCTTTATCTTTTCAAGGTTACCAGCCCACTGAAGCCTTCACTGTAGGGCCTGGGATGTCTTTCCTCTACCTTTTTTAAAGAGCTTATTTATTTTATTAATTGAGCTATATATAAGTATATACAATGTGTTGATCTGATACATTTATATATTGCAATATGATTACACCATAGTATTAGCTAACACCTTTATCATATGACATAATTATCATTTTGAGGGTGAGAACAATTAAGGTCTGGTCTCTTAGCAACTTTGAAGTTTATAATACAGTATTGGTTACTATAACCACTATAGTACTACATTAGCTCTCCAGAACTTATTTGTCTAATAGTTTTAAGTTTGTACCCTTAAATAACATCTCCCCAATTTCCCCACATGCCAAGTCCCTGGTAACCACCACTGTACTCTGATTTTATGAGTTCAGCCTTTTCATATTTCATATATAAGTGATATCATACAGTATTTGTCTTTCTCTGACTTATCTCACTTAGCATAATGGCCTCAAGATCCATCTATGTTGTCACAAATGGCAAGATTTCCTTCTTTCTGATAGCTGAATAATATTCCATTGTATGTATGTACACACACACACACACACACACATACACATTGTATCACATCTTCTTTATCCACTTATTCACTGATGGATATTTAGGTTGTTTCCATGTCTTGGCTATATAAATAATACTGCAATAAACTTGTGGTATGGACATCTTTTTGATCTTGTTTTCATTTCCTCTGAATATATATCCAGAAATGGTATGTCCTATTTTTAATTTTTTGAGGAACCTCCATATTGTTTTCCATAGTGGCTCCACCCATTTACATTTCCATCACAGTGCACAAGGATTCCTTTTTCTCCACATCCTCACCAACACTTGTTATCTCTCAACTTTTTGATGACAGCCATTCCAACAGGTGTAAGGTGAGATCTCATTGTCATTTTGGTTTGCATTTCCCTGATTAGTAGTGATGTTGAGCACCTTTACATGTACCTGTTGGCCATCTATGTCTTCTTTAGAAAAAATATCTATTCAGTCCTGCTGCCCATTTTTTTAGTCAGATTGTTTGCTTTTTTGCTATTGAGTTGTGTGAGTTCTTTATATATTTGAATATTAACCTCTTATTTGATATGTGGTTTACAAATACTTTCTCCCATTCTGTAGGCTGCTTTTCATTTTGTTTATTGTTTCTTTTGCTGTGCAGAAGCTTTTTAGTTAATAAAATATTAGTAAACCAAAATCAACAGCTCATTAAAAAGATCATACACCATGACCAAATGGAAATCATCCCTGGGATGCAAGGATGGTCTGACATATGCAAATCAATAAATGTAATACACCATATTAATAGAATGAAAGATAAAAATCACATGATCATCTCAATACATGCAAAAGAAAGCATCTGACAAAACTCAACACCACATGCTAAAAACCCTTAACAAATTGGGTATGGAAGGAACGTACCTCAATATAATAAACACCATATGCAACAAACCCACAGCTAACATTATACTCAATGGTAAAAGATTGGAAGTTTTTCCTCTAAGATCAGGAACAAGACAGGGATTCTCACTCTCACCATTCTTATTCCACATAGTGCTGGAAGTTCTAGATAGAGCAATTAGGGAAGGCAAAGAAATAGAAGGCATTCAAATCAGAAGGAAAGAAGTAAAATGGTCATTATTTTCAGATGATATGATCTTATATAGAGAAAATCTTAAAGACCCAACAAAAAAACTGTTGGAACTAATCAATGAATTCAGTAAAGTTGCAGGATATATAATCAACATACAGAAATCAGTTGTGTTTTTACAAATGATGTGAAATATGTGAACTACAAATATGTGAAAAGGAAATAAATGAACAATCCCACTCACAAGAGCACCAAAAACAATAAAATACTTAGGAAAAAACTTAACCAAAGAAGTGGAAGTACAATGAAAACTACCTTGATAAAAGAAATTGAATACAAACAAATGGAAAGATATCCCATGTTCATGGATTGAAAGAACATTGTTAAAATGTCCATAGTACCCAAAACCATGTAGAGATTCAATGCAACCTCTATCAAAATTCCAATGACATTTTTGACAGAAAGAAAAAAAAAATCCCAAAATTTGTATGGAACCATACAAGATCCCAAATAACCAAAGCAATCCTGAGAAAGAAGAACAGACTTGGAGGCATCGCACTTCCTGCTTTCAAACTAAACTATAACGTAATTACAACAGTATGATACCGTCATAAACATAGACACATAGACCAATGGAACGGAACTGAGAACTCGGAAATGAACCCCCAATTACAGAGTCAACACACACTTTACAGGGGAGCCAAGAACATTCATTGGGGAAGAGTAGTTTCTTCAAAAAAGATGTTAGGGCGGTGCCTGGGTGGCTCAGTCGTTAAGTGTCTGCCTTCGGCTCAGGTCATGATCCCAGGGTCCTGGGATCGAGCCCCACGTTGGGTACCCTGCTCGGCTGGAAGCCTGCTTCTCCCTCTCCCACTCCCCCTGCTTGTGTTGCCTCTCTTGCTATGTCTCTCTCTGTCAAATAAATAAATAAAATCTTTAAAAAATATATGTTAGGAAAAGTGATTAACCACAATCAGAAAAATGAAATTGGACCCCTACTTTACATTACTTACAAAAATTAATTCAAAATGGATTAAAGACTTAAACATAAGACATGATACTATAAAACTAGAAGAAAAAATAGGGAAGAAGCTCCTTGACATTGGACTTGGCAATGCTTTTTTGGATATGACACCAACAGCACAAGCAACAAAAGCAAAAATCAACAAATAGGACTACATCAAACTATAAAGCTTCTTTCTTCTTAAAACACTACTTTTAACCTGCTGCTCTACTACTCAAGATAAGTAATATGTCCCTACTTTCTCCAACAAGCCCAAACTCCTACCCATACTGCCTTCTGCAGTCTGTAAAATATGCAAATAACACTTGCCTTATAGGGTTGTGTAATTATTAAATAAAGCAATTTTCATCAAGATTCTCTCAACAAATGCTTCTTTACAACAAATTTCAAAATTCAGCTTAGCTGTAGCAGCTTTTCTCTAAATAGATCCCCTGAGGCAAGGGAAACAAAAGCAAAGATAAACTATTAGGGCTGTATCAAAATATAAAGCTTTTGATAATAAAGGAAACAATAAAAAAACTAAAAGGAAACCTATGGAATGGGAGAAGATATTTGCAAATGACATATTCAATAAAGGGTTAGTATCCAAAATATATAAAGAACTTATACAACTCAACACCCAAAAAAACAAATAATCCAATTAAAAATGGTCAGAAGATATGAACAGACATTTCTCCAAAAACAACATCCAAGTGGCCAACAGAAACATGAAAAGATGTTCATCATCACTTATCAAGTCAAGGTCACACAGCTAGTTAGAATTTTACCATAGAACTGAGACCCATATCTGCCTCCAAAGCTCTTGATCTTAATCAATCCCTTATTCTGCTTTAGCATAGGAACTGGCAGGTATAATTCAACTTTATTTTATTTATTTTATTTTTAAATTTTTTTTATTAATATATAATGTATTATTTGTTTCAGAGGTACAGCTCTGTGATTCATCAGTCTTACACAATTCACAGTGTTCACCACAGCACATACCCTCCCCAATGTCCATCACCCAGCCACCCCATCCCTCCCACCCCCCTCCACTCCAGCCACCCTCTCCAACTTTATTTTAAAATAGTATTTCAATAGAACATCATAAGCCTTTTTAAAAGAGAGATATAAATGGTTTCTTCATAAATCCTGCTAAGATGTAAAATTGTTTATATACCAGAAGAAGGAATTACATTGCCATAAGATAGAATAAAAAAGATTATATTGTATGAAGTATTTGATTAATAAAAATTAGTTTATATTTTTTAAATCCATTTGTCTGCCACAATGAGGAGCTTGGTAAATAGTAATTAATTTTACAAAGTCCAAAATTCCCCTCTTCCATTGTTCTTGTTGAAGTCACTCTTCCCTTTTCTTTATTCACACACTACCATGGTACTTTTGCCTGGGCGTTGCACTTTTTCCTCTTAATATGAATGTGATTCATTTCTCCTTCCCTGTACAAAGAAAAAATTATCCCCAAAGGAAAAAAGAATGGAGACACTTCTTCATTCCTTATTCCAAGTCCTGAAACCAATAGTAATGGAACTAGGTGTCCCAATTCAAGCTCTGATCAGGGAGAAAAGCAGTTAAACATATACTATCCCTAATACCCAGCTTGCACAAAGTTACCAAGGGTTTTGATTCATTCAACAAATATTTTCTGGGGCCTATTCATTCCAAACATTGTGCTAGGGGCCAGGGATGCAAAAGAGTAAACATGCCACTGCCCTCAAGAAAGTCTCTACTGAGTAGTTTGACATACAGGCTAGAGAGGGGATAAAACATGTTTAAAATTTCCTTTTCACACTTTATTTTTTATGTTGTATTGTATTTCTATGTCTTTTGTACATTGCAGATATTTTGAATCAGGATAATAAAGGTGCTGATTATAAACTCATTCTGTAATATTCATACAGTAGCCAAATGCAGAAAGTAAATGACTATTTTTAAAGTTGTAGATGAGTTCCAGCTTAAAAATATGTATAAACACATATATACATTACACACACTAAACACAAGGTTTTTATTTTAAATCGAGGAAAAAAGAATAAAGCAAATAGAGAGTACTGAAAATATACTGACAACATGTGGAAAAATACAAGATACACAAAATGCAAAGTATATCTAAATCCTTTTCCATCTCCTCTATTATCTTCTCTCCCCATTCCAAATAATCTTTTCCATTTAGTTTTTTAAATTATTTTTTTCAAACTAAAACTTGCAATTCACTTATACTTAAGTCATCAACATTGCTTCATGAAAGCATTTTGATGTCTAAATTTTTTGTCATAAATATTTTAAAAATGTTCTCACCTCATTTCCTTTCTCTGGAGAAAGAATGACAAACTCCAAAAGATTTAAATTTCACCTGAGGTGTAGCTGCACCAGGCAGTGTGGGATACTTAGCATCATGGCCCATGACTTCCCTAGTCCGGTGACTAGTGTCCCTCTGCTTCGCAACTGCCAGCTGAGTACCTCCGTGCCCGAGAAGAGAGAAAGAGGCGGAAGAGGAAACATGAGCATGCTGTTGCTTCTACTGAGCGGCATTTTGTTTGCTTTTCTGTTTGTCTTCTGGAAAAGCCACTTTCAGAGCAGCGTTGGTGAAATGTCATCAAATTCGACTTCTCCTGCGCTAGTAAGAGCAACCTCTTTTACTGGGTCAACTAAGAGCGATACTGATAAGAGTCTTTCAGTCATCAGCCTCTCTAGGGATATCTTAATTAATTCCCCACACACCATAACCATGCAGAAGCAAATATTGGTAAACCTCAGGATCATGGAATACAAGCTGGCTGAACTGGAACATTTCCTAGTTATCAAGGGTTTAAATGGTGCATTAGTTAACTGGAAATCCGAAGGCTTAGAGAATGTAATGACAGTGGAGGCAATCATTAAAGGCACCTTGAGTGAATTAAAAAAAAAAATTTTTCACATGAAGTGGAAAAATCCAGGTTTGGAGGTTGTCTCACCTTGGTGAAAAGTTATTCTTCAGTCTTCAGTGGAATCCACAGAATGTCTGAAAAGTCACCTAAACGTTCATGACTTACCACACTGGAAAGGGCATTTCCTTTTCTGTCTTGAAAGGTGGTCTGTGATCTCCATGAGGCAGCTCAGATTTATTGTCTCTGCTTTGCGGTGGTGTCCCATGGCTCACTCCACTATGACAACAGCCCTGGTGATTCCAACTAGGAACAGGAAGTAGGAAAGGAAGCCTGCATCCTGCAGAGTCCCTACAAGATGACTGAAGGAGTCTTTGCAGACCTCCTGCCTTTTGTCTTCCCCCAGAGCAGTACACACAGGACTATGAAGGAGGCACACTATGTATTTTGCCAAAGAACCAGTGCATCTCAGAAAAGCAAAATCACACAGGGCATGCAAAGACTCAGAGGAGGTATCCCATGTGGCTGTTCCTCTCTCTCCAACCCATCTCTCTTCCCCACATCTCCCTTTAATTTCCTTTCCTTTCCACACAGTCCACTTTTTCAAGTCTTTTGACCAATCATCCCTCTCTATCCGGGGGAAACCCATACTTCACCACAGGAAGAAAAAGTTCTTCTCTCATCCTTTACCCTCAGTTCATTCCTAAACATTGAAAACATGATTCTGCCAGGCAGTCAGCTGCTAGTGAGGGTTTTCTCTTTTCACTGATGAAGCATTCCCTTAGCTAAAAGTGAAAATTTTCTTCTACTGCAAGGAGAACTGCAGCTGGTTTCCTTGCTAGCAAGTTCACCAGCAGTTATGGGTTGAATTATTTGGAGAATGATTTGGACCATTTTTGGAGACAGGGTCTTCACAAAAGTAATCAGGTTAAGATGGAGTCATGAGGGTGGCCCTAATTTAATTTGACTGTTGTATTTGTAAAAAGGGGAAGTGTGGACACAGATACACATCAGAGAGAATACCATGTGAAGATGGAGGCAGAGATCAGGGAAGGAATACCAAAAATTGCCACCAAATCACCAGAAGCTGAGAGAAAGGCAAGAAACAGATTTCCTCATTGCCCTCAGAAGGAACCAACCAAAGTATACCTTGATCTTTTAGTGTCTAAAACTGTGAGACCATAAACTTCTATTATTTAAGCCACTCAGTTTCTGGTTCTTTGTTACAGCAGCCCTTGCAAACTAATAAAACTGCCAAGGATAGTGTTCTTTCTTGAAGGCAGCATACCTGATCTCAATCTGACCTGTTAATTAGTCTGGTCCTGCCAATGAGTTTTCTAAAGCCTCACTGGGCCCAGCTGTAAGAGGAATTTCCATACAAGCTGCAGAGGGCTTCTTTGCAGTCTTAAAAGGCTGATGCCAGCTCTGATTTTTTTATTCCAAAACTCCTTTCATTCCATCAACCCCTAGACTCACAATTTGGCCGTTCCCCCCAGATCTTTCCCCTACCAGACTCTACTAGGGGAGCAGGGCATATAATCTCTCCATTTCAGACCCACAGTTCCCATTTTCCCCTCATCTTCCACCCTCCAGTTAGAAGGGGGTATTTTCTAAACTCTGAGAAAGTCTTCCTTTCATGTTTCTGGCCAAGAGATTTTATCTGTACCTGAGATTATTCTCTGATAATGGGGTTTAAGCTTCAGGAAAAATAGTCATGGAAGCTTTTGCATCACCACTGATTTCCTTCCTGCCATAACCCTCCCCTATCCCTAAGCACAGAACCAGCTGGAATTTAAACACAAGAATAAAAAGATAGAGTAATGGAGAAAAAAATTAAATCTTAAAATATTATACCACAATTCAAAAAAATTATAATAAACTGAAAAACACTATCATTAGAAGTATAGTCATGGGAGCATAAAATAGGGACATGAACCAAAACAGGCTAGGGGTCAGGAAGACCGCTGCAGAAACCACCTTTAAAGACCAGACGGCAGTTCTTGTTAAGCAGGTGCCCCAGAGGCAGAAAACAAGAAACAGCATTTCCATGGATGGCCAGAGACAGATGCCACAGCAGCAGCCACTGTTGCCACTCTGTCCACTTTTCTAGTAGATCCCCACCAGGACACTAAAATGTTCCCTCAAACCACTGGAATATGCCATTCCTTCCATTTGTGTTCTCACAAGTTTCTTTGTGATAACTGTGTTGAAAGAAATGGGTATCATGAGATAACAACTGTGGGGGGGACAGGACTGCCCTCCTGTCTTGCTTCTTCACATTTGTCCTCTGTCTCTTGCCACTCATTTGTGCTCAGCTGTATGCTTGTCTTTTTCATCCCCGCTTCCATGCCCCACTAAGTTTATCGATAAAAGAATCTCAGGAAGAAAATGGACCTGCCTCCTCCACACACCCACAATGTTTCAAAGAATTTATTGAGGTCCTAAAGAGAAATTTGAAATTTTGCAGCCATCTGGAACTGTCAAAGTTACATAAAATCAGCTACAAAAGCTGTGAAACATAAAGAGGTCTGTCTGTTCTATTATTATGTAAATAAATCTCAATTTTTTTTAAGACGTAGAATAAAACATGCTCCGTATACTACCTCTGGAAGAGATCTACCAACACATGTCCACCAACCTGCTTTCTCTTCCCCAAGTCGTTTTATTTATGCTAGGCCTTGTCCATCCCCATAAAACAGTGGTTCACAAAATGGCTGCTCAAAGATTCACAGTACCCAGCCAAGAAGCACTGAATCTAAATCTTTGTATTTAAGTTTCTCTTGTAATTCTGAGTCCTGATCAGGTTAGGGAACCACTGCTAAAAAGCCATTCCAGAAAATACCAATTAATCACACTAGTTTTTCTGTCATGAACAAATCCATAATTTCTAGCACTCTTTTAGCCACTCCCCATCCATGCCCGTCATTGAAGTTACAGATCGGTGTTCCAGGAACCAAATAGGCAATTGAGTGCTTCTGTGCCGAGAAGCAATACGGTCTCCGGTGTAGCAGTCCAACTTTGGAATTCCTCTCTGGTTCATCACACCAGCTTGGTCTGCATCAAGAGTAGCCCAGGCAGGAAGCCCAGTGCCCAAAGCAAGGCATTTCCCAGAGGTTGATTTTTAATCACTACAACAAAGAAATAGCTGGTAGGTAAGAGGGAAATGGTAGCCACATGTGTTCTAGTATTTAGTAAGCAGTGCAACTTGTACTGGAACTTGTTTCCTTAGATCTTGTTTCTAATTTCCCCACTGGCTTTTTTTTTTTTTAATGTTATTTTGTCACCATACAGTACATCATTAGTTTTTGATGTAGTGTTCAATGATTCGAGTATAACACCCAGTGCTATTACAACACGTGCCCTCCTTAATACCCATCACCCAGCTACCCCAACTCCCACCCACCCTCCCCTCCGAAACCCTCAGTCTGTTTCCCAGAGTCGAGTCTCTCATGGTTCGTCTTCCCCTCTGATTCCCACCACCCCTGCTTCATTTTCCCCTTCCTTCTCCTAATGTCCTCCACGCTATTCCTTAGGTTCCACAAATCAGTGAAACCATATGATAATTGACTTCCTCTGCTTGACTTATTTCACTCAGCATAATCTCCTCCAGTCCCATCCATATTGATGCAAAAGTTGGGTATTCATCCTTTCTAATGGCTGAGTAGTATCCCATTGTATATATGGACCACATCTTCTATATCCATTCATCTGTTGAAGGGCATCTCGGCTCTCACTGGCATTTCTAACCAGCTGCCAAAATGCCTCTAGTGTAGGCCTGCCACATGGCTATTAGTACATTTGCCCTGGGCCATCTCTAAGGATAACTGAAAGGACAAACTTTCCTCACTCTAGCCCTAAGTCAGATTCACAGGGGTGGCTGAAGGCAAAATGTACTAGCAGTTATCTGCCCTGTGTGGTGCAATCATCTGATACATTATATGTTATCAGTTATCTGCCAATGTAAGTGGAAATTACTCACCAGTAGCTGAAATATAAGGATATCCAGAGGCCAGGTAATGGCTTAATAGTGATTACATAAACTGGCATTCAAGTGATATTTAGAGGAATTCAGGCATAGTCATGGCTTTAGAGTACTGAAAGAGCAATCTGCATATTAAATATGGCCTTGAACTGGAAATCATGATACACATTTAAATATTCCAGGAAAGCAGAATGTTCTTGATCATTCCAATCAAAAGGTTGAAATGGTGCTGCATTAATCAGAGGAGAATTGAGTTCTCTAAGTAGCTTTGCCAGGGAAGTAAAATTATTTCCTTTGGCAAGGTGCTTACCTCAGTGAGGAGGTTGAAGTGATCACAGAGGTATTTTAATTTGAGTGTTCTGTGCTTTTAAAAAATAAACCAGATTCCACCTCACAAATCACTTTAAAAAGTTGCATCCGAAAGACTAAAGACAAAGTGTGCTAATCTACTTAAAACTGAGATCTCTTTCTATACCTCCTCTAGAATCAACTCCTACATTTTTTCACCATTTCAAAGAATATGGTAAGTGAGGCTTTTAATAATTTAATTTCTATGGCAATAAGAAAACATTGGCCTCTCAGAAAGAAATTTCCTTTCACATAGTATAGGCTGAATTCTCATGAATCTTTTATACTTAAAGTTAACCAAAGTCACCTTGTAATAGAGAGCTCAGTTCAATAGCCTGATAGAAAGTTATAGCTCTCAATACTTACCAGTATTTCTAATTTCCTTTTAATCTGTGAAGGCGGACAAAATTAAGCACTCCTAATATCAACATTCTTAAGAAGAACCATTTATCATAGCAACATTCCGAATGGTGAGACAGTTTAGACATTCTCTTCCCTTCCACACAATACTGGCCCCAGGGATTGGGACTTTTGGGGGACGTTGCTACCTACTCTGGCCTGACTGTCCCTTTAACATGAGAACAGTGAATATTATAAGAATGACTCTTCTCAGACTAATATGCAATTCCTGGCCTACTGTTGGAACTTTGCATTTATTTTTCCAGGGAAGGCATCCAAAGGCAAGTTTTGGCAGGCAGTCACATCTAAGATGATCACAAAACTCCTATCCCAATAATCACCCCAAATTCTGGCCAGTCTTGGCCATGGGATTTAGCTTGTAGTATTCTCAACATCAGAGATGAGAGAGTTCAGCCCTCAGGACATATGTAGGAATGAAAGATGGCCCCTCCTATGCTGCAATTCCTTTGTTCCTCTGGTTTTTCAGAGTATCTGTGGATCAAGTTTTCAGCCCCTCTCATGTATATTTGTCTAATGCTCCTTTTAGAGAATTTCCAAATGCCCTACATTGGAGACCCAGTGATCTACCATGTCCTGGCTCATCTCTTTTCATTATCTTCTCTACTCTCTTCCTTCCTTCACTTTCTTCCAGCATGAAAGTAAATTCCTCTCCTTGCTTCAGGCAGATCAATTTATCCACCTTTACCTGTCCTGACACATGCGATATCTGTGTTTTTAGGTCTCACTTCTAACCCCAAGCAGTTTATCAAGATATTTTCCCAAATAAAAAACAATTTCCTAAAAAATTTTTCAAAAAAAGAAGGTGTGGGATATATATATATATATTCTTCATACATATGTATGTATACACACACACACACACACACACACACAATGGAATATTAGTCATAAAAAAGAACAAAATCTTGCCATTTACAACATGGGGGAGCTAGAGAATATGATGCTAAGTAAAATAATTCAGTCAGACAAAGGAATCAAATACCATTTGATTTCACTCATATGTGGAATTTAAGAAACAAAACAAATGAGCAAAGGAAAAAAGAGAGAGAGAGACAAACCAAGAAACAGACTCTTAACTACAGAGAACAAACTGATGGTTCCAGAGGGGAGGTGGGGGGATGGGTTAAACAGGTGATGGGGATTAAGGCATGTACTTGTGATGAGCACTGGGTGATATAGGGAAGTGCTGAATCACTGTATTGTACAACTGAAACTAATATTACACTGTATGTTAAATACCTGGGATTTAATTAAAAACTTTTTAAAAATATAAATAAATAAATATCTTGAGAGAAGTTGCTGTGGCTGATGTCAAAGAGATTACTGCCTATGTTGTCCTCTAGGATTTTGATGGATTCCTGTCTCACATTGAGGTCTTTCACCCATTTTGAGTTTATCTTTGTGTAGGGTGTTAGGGAATGGTCAAGTTTCATTATTCTGCATGTGGCTGTCCAATTTTCCCAGCACCATTTATTGAAGAGACTCTCTTTTTTCCAATGCATATTTTTTCCTGCTTTGTTGAAGATTATTTGACCATAGAGTTGAGGGTCCATATCTGGGCTCTCTATTCTGTTCCATTGGTCTATATGTCTGTTTTTGTGCCAGTATCATGCTGTCTTGGTGAACACTGCTTTGTAATATAGCTTGAAATCGGGCAACATGATGCCCCCAACTTTGTTTTTCTTTTTCAACATTTCCTTGGCAATTTGGGGTCTTTTCTTATTCCATACAAATTTTAGGATTGTTTGTTCCAGCACTTTGAAAAATGTCATTGGAATTTTGATTGGGATGGCATTGAAGGTAAAGATTGCTCTGGGTAGCATAGACATTTTAACAATGTTTATTCTTCTGATCCATGAGTATGGAATGTTTTTCCATCTTTCTGTGACTTCTTCAATTTCTTTTATGAGTGTTCTGTAGTTCCTAGAGTATAGATCCTTTACCTCTTTGGTTAGGTTCATTCTGACGTATCTTATGGTTTTGGGTGCTATTGTAAATGGAATCGTTTCTCTAATTTCTCTTTCTACAGATGCATTGTTAGTGTATAAGAAAGCAACTGATTTCTGTGCATTGATTTTGTATCCTGCCACATTACTAAATTGCCATATGAGTTCTAGTAATTTGGGGGTGGAGTCTTTTGGATTTTCCACATAAAGTATCATTTCATCTGCAAAAAGAGAGAGCTTGACTTCTTCTTTGCCAATTTTAATACATTTTATTTCTTTTTGTTGTCCAATTGCTGTTGCTAGGACTTCCAGTACTATGTTGAACAGTAGTGGCGAGAGTGGGCATCCTTGACATGTTCCTGATCTTAAGGGAAAGGCTCTCAGCTTTTCCCCATTGAGGATGATATTCGCTGTGGGTTTTTCACAGATGGATTTTATGAACTTGAGGAATGTTCCCACTATCCCTATACTCTGAAGAGTTTTAATCAGGAAAGGATGCCATATTTTGTCAAATGTTTTTTCTGCATCAATTGAGAGGACCATATGGTTCTTCTCTCTCCTCTTATTAATGTGTTCTATCACAATGATTGATTTGCAAATGCTGAACCATCCTTGCATCCCAGGGATAAATCCCACTTGGTAGTGGTGGATGATCCTTTTAATGTATTGTTGGATCCTATTAGCTAGGATTTTCTTTCAAGATACATCTCCAAAGGCTAGTGAAACAAAAGCAAAAATGAACTTTTGGGACTTCATCAAGATAAAAAGCTTCTGCACAGCAAAGGAAACAGTCAACAAAACAAAGAAGCAACCCACAGAATGGGAGAAGATATTTGCAAATGACACTATAGATAAAGGGCTAGTATCCAAGATCTATAAAGACCTTCTCAAACTCAACACCCAAAAAAAAATCAAGTCAAAAAATGGGCAAAAGACATGAACAGACACTTCTCCAAAGAAGACATACAAATGGCTAACAGACACATGAACAAATGTTCATCATCATTAGCCATCAGGGAAATTCAAATCAAAACCACACTGAGATATCACCTTACACCAGGTAGAATGGCAAAAATTGACAAGGCAAGAAACAACAAATGTTGGAGAAGTTGTGGAGAAAGGGGAACCCTCTTACACTGTTGGTGGGAATGCAAGCTGGTACAGCCAATTTGGAAAACAGTGTGGAAGTGCCTCAGAAAATTAAAAATAGAGCTACCCTATGACCCAGCAATTGCACCCCAAAGACAAAGATGTAGTGAAAAGAAGGGCCATATGCACCCCAATGTTCACATCAGCAATGTCTGCAATAGCCAAACTGTGGAAAGAGCTGAGATGCCCTTCAACAGATGAATGGATAAAGAAGATGTGGTCTATATATACAATGGAATATTACTCAGCCATCAGAAAGGATGAATACCCAACTTTTACATCA